TGCCTCCAAGCACAAATTGGTTCTAAGAAACATAATTACCTCCCAAGATGTTAAGGTTACCTCAGGGACTGAATAAGAAACTGTCTTATCCTAGACTGGCAATATATTTGATGGTTTCTACTTCTGCCCTCTCATGGCCAGTTTTTACTGGGTTTAGGAGAGAATCCTGCTCAAAATCTGTGATAAAGCTATCAGCCAGAGAGACTGCTTCAGACTGCAGCCCTTTTAAGAATATTTCCTAGCAGATTCAGTCATCCAGGACTGAGCTGCTTATATAGCAGTGCATGTGCAAAAATGTTGTAAGAGATGTTGTGTACTCAGAACTAATCATGTACCTCTTTTCTTCCACCCTCACTGTTTCAACATCACTGCAAACAGGCAATGCGCAGGCTCGCATCATGAAGAAAAATGGATGTTGTCATGATGTGGACTTGTCTAATGTTGGTGCATACATAGTTTCACAACAAGTATCTGAACTGGGACCAGTCTTTGCATTTGAAGAAAACACTGATTTCCTTTTGTGAATTCTACAGATCTCTAGAAATGTCTGCATTTTGTCTGTTGACAGAATACCCTTGAACTACTCAAAACATTTGATCAGAACTCATTCGCAGAATCAACCATTGTTAAAATTTGGAGGCAGATCATCATAGCTTCTAGAAACTTCAGGAGGCAAGGCTTTGCGTGGGTGACGGCTTCTACTGGATGAACTGCATGGTTGGGATAAACTTAGATAAGCTTTCAAATACAATGCCTAGTTGAAGAATACATTGCATTCAAAAGTCTATCCCAACAATGCAGTTGGTTCAATAGAAGATATCACCAACAAAAATTCTTGCCTTTTGCATATGTCTTGGACCATCATGGCTACAACACCGTTCCAACATGACAGAAATTGCAACTAGTTTTAGGGTTGGTGGATGTAAATGACCCAATACTATGTTGATACTTATCGGAAAAAATAGCCACTTGATGGTAGCAGAACAAGGAGCAATGGTCTCAAGTTGCAGCAAGTGAAGTTTAGGTTTAGGTATTAGGAAAAACTTTTTTACTAGGAGGGTAGTAATGCAGTAGAACAGGTTACCCAGAGAGGTTGTGAAATTCCCATCCTTGGAGATTTTTAAGACCCTGCTAGAAAAGCCTTGGCTGGGATGATTTAGTTGGGGACAGTCCTGCTTTGAACAGGGGTTTGGCCTAGATGACCTCCCAAGATCCCCTCTAACCCTAATTTTCTATGATTCTGTGGTAACATAGTCCATAGCATTGAGAAGATTACAAATTCTTTGGATTGGTTTGTTCAGTGCCTGGCACAATTGGAGACATCTTTAGATGCTACTGTAACGTAAATAATTGATTATAATATATTCCTCAAACAAAAGCAGCAATAGGCAGTAAGAACTCTGGGCCCTGACCTGCAAAAATATCTTCAATCCCATGCAGTTGATGTGCAGAACATTATCACCCATTCAGCAAAAACATCTTTAAAAAAGTATCTATCTTGGTGATTCTTTAAAAATACTCCTAGGTTTGCTTCTGTGTTTAAAGTTTTATTATAAAAAAACTTTGTTACATAATCAAAATGGAGGACAGATGAAATTTATTCATGCAAAATTAAACTTATTGTACTACTACAACAATGATAACCACATAAAAATTGGGCTCATCAGGAGACACTATTATTTGAGAAACTTGGTTCATTAATTTTATTTTTAGTAACCAGGCCCTACTGTTAAAGATCATAATTGATATCAAACATATATAGAAATGTTTTGACCAGGTAATATATTGCTAACTTATGATTTTTAGGGGCTAGTCTGATACTATTTGCATTATGATATTGCCTTCGTCCATAATTAGTCTGTTTGAAGGTAGAACTTTGGGAATGCTGTCTCTTCCTCATGTATAACACACCCCTGAATAAAACCCATTTTATTTTTGAAAGGCAGAATGAAATAAAGATCCTTCCTTGAAAGCCTGGGGGGGGTGTGGAGAGGTGGGGAGGGGAAGGAAAGTACCCGGTGCCAGCAGCAGCGTGCTTAAGTGCCCCTTTACTTGTGCTTTCCCCCGGCAGAAGCTGAAGTAGCAAGCACTGCTGTTACCATATTTTCTTGACCATAACACCCCCCCCCCACACACACACAATTTCCAGGACCTGAATTTTGGGGGAAAATATGTATTATAAGCCAAAAAAATATGGTAGGTTTTTCTGAAACTTGAGTAAAGTTATCAGAATCAGACCCATTATCTAATGTTGGTTTAGTGGGATATAAACTAACCCTTTCTCTCTTGTAATAGAACATATCAAAGAAACAATGCTAATGTAAGTTAGTGAGAATGCATAAATATAGTAATTTACACAGTGTTCAAGATTACAAGAAAAGCTATGGAATTTTAACCCCTAGTTTTAAAGCAATAACAGCTATGTAAGAAATGACGGTTCCCCACTGTTACTACTAATAAATACATTTAGATAGGAGAATAGTTACATTTTTAAAACTGAAGGAAGGAAATTACCTGGGGTAAGTGAGGCTGTTGCACATTTAAAACATTACAAGGCATGAAATACAAAGCAGACAGAAACTGGACATTGCCACTGCATGACACTGGGCAAGATGGACCTGTGGTCTGACACAGCAAATAGCAGTTCTTATGTTCTTAATCCCTGCAGCACTTAGGTGCTAGCAGAACTTAACGGTTCCTATACACTTTGATCCTTTTTAGAGCCACCCCTATTTCCAGGCCTGCTGCCCTATCCACACTGTATGCAGCAAACCACTTTGTAGCCAGAGCTTCCATAGCCATACCATTTGAGCAAGGACCCAATTACTGGCGACGTGTGTAGGGAGTGCATGGGGATGCATTTGAACCCCCTGAGAGCACCAGTGTACCCCCTGACTGGCTGCGCTCACTGCTTAGGCGATGGGGGGCAGGCAGGAGTGCCAGTGCCCCCCCTGCAAGCACTCACTGGCTGATTGCTGCAGCTGCTCCCAGAAACGGAAGCAGCCACTCCTGGAAGCAGGTGCAGCAGCAATTGGCTGCTGTGGCCCATCCCAGGCAGTGAGATGAGCCGCAGGGGGACACCCCCCCCCCCCCCAAACCCTCCGTGCAGCAAGATTGGCCATGGGGGGACTGGACCTAACTATTTTTTTTTAAGTGCTATTTTAACTGGGATATACAAAAACTAGAACTCTTGGTTCCAAAATGATACCTTTTATTAGACCAACTGGAAAATGGCAAGAAAATTGTCCTTTCCTGCAAGCTTTTGGGATTAAAGTCCCTTCGTTGGTCTCTGGGAAAAGTGTAGATGGTACAAGATGGTAAAAAGTCCCCATAGGCAGGAAATAAACTTCATTTTTGCACAGAGGGAGCTGAAGATGGAAGTCTGTTCCTCTGGGTCCATGAGTGTGTCTGTGAGCTGTGTTGAGTAGCTCTTTGATGTGTTGATCAGGTAGAATCCCTTCCCTGGAGGTGTCAGATGGCAGGCAGGGAGGCAAAAAAACTTCCTTGTTGTTCTGTAACGAAGTTTAAAATCCAAAATCAGCTAAAATTCGGGATTTTAACTGGGATTCATTCAGGTTTTGTTTTTTGTCTTTTTAAATTTTGTGTCTCTGGTCAAATCAGTCAAATTAGTTCTGAATTTCATCTGATGAGCAGGGCCGAGTCATTCAGGCCCATATAGTGTTACCACTGGCAAGTATCTTCCCTCCAGGGCTCTTCAGCCTAGGGTTTCAGACACTCCCAAATGCATGGCAGGCTTCCTAGCGCAGGCCCCAGACCCAGAGGTCTGGGGGTTCGGATGCCTCCGAGTCTTACTTGCCAACAGGCCGAAAAAGCAATAGTGCAGCGTTTCTCAACCTGTCGGTCTCAACCCAAAAGGGGGGGTCGCAAGAATAGATGTAAAGATTACGAACAAACTTTAGAAATGGTTCAACACACTTTAGAAATGGATTCTCCTTTAAAGGTGAAAAACATGAGAAAGTGTGGCTTTTCCCGTGCAAGCTGGCAGAGTTCCCCTCACCCCGCACACAGGGGCCGCGGGTCGGCAGCGAGGGGCACTGGCCATCCATGCTTACAAATGGGTCCTGGGACAAACAAAGTTGGGAACCGCTGCTAGGGCAGACCGTGGTAGGGGGCCTGTCTGCAGTGCATCAGGCACGTCTCCACCTGCCCTACGCAACGCCATTCAAGGGGATCTGACCTCCCCGGGAAACCACCTCCTGGTCCTTCCCCTGCCCGGTAGGATGAATACAGGGCAAAGGACGCAGAGGGGTGGCATGGACGCCCCCCGGCTACACCCCCGTTAGCCTGGCTCCGACGGCCTGGTAGGCCGCGGCCAGGCTGGAGCTCTCCGCGACAGCCACGGGCGCTGTCAGACGCACGCTGCTTGTGCAGAGGACCGGCTGCGGGGCCAGGCGCCGCCTACGACCACCTCAACATGGGGGGGAGGAACTACAGCTCCCGGCATGCATCGGGGCCAAGGCGCAGCTCGCGGGGACCTGCCGCTCCCGGCATGCACCAGACCCGCTTCGGCGCCAGGGCAAAGCGCGTTTCCCAGCATGCCGCGCGGCGTGCCGTTCCGCCCTGCCCGCTCGGGTGCGCAGTGTTCTGGTTGCCATGGTGACCACCGCCGCATCGCGCGCCACAGCCCCCCCAGCTGTCCCGTGGGCACGCCCCACCCCCTTGTCCAGTGACAGTTTCCGGTTTCTCCCTTCAGTCGTTTCCGGCTCCTCCCTTCCGGCGCGGGGCACTTCCGTTCCCACAGTGCCCCGCGCCGAATCATGGACCACAATGGTGAGGAGGGGCGAGGGAGGGAGA